TTTCTCTTCGCGCAAAAAATTCTTCTCAATCCGTTGTCCTCTTCCGTGATCTTGAAAGCCACATCCCGCGCAGGTAAGGTTCTTAAGTGTTCGTCTGATTTTACATCGCCGCTTCTTGTCTGGTTCGATTGAAAAATTCCCTAGGGCACTCTCCGACTCCTGTTCCGGTTCCCTGTCGTCGGCGGTCGGTTGATTCGGTCGAAGAACTCCCGAAGGCTGTCACCGGTTCCCTCGCCCGTCTTTCTTGTTTTCCGGTGAAATTAGATGTACCGGGTGTGTTTTTGTATCGATATCTTAGTTGGGAAATTATTATTTGGAAGAAAATGTTTGGGTATTATTTTGGGTGATTTTGATAATAAATTTTGTTGCTATTTAGGGTTTAGGGGTAATATTTATTTTGTGAAATGGGTAATTTGTTGCTATTGAGGATCAAGACATTACTAGAATTCCGTAAGAACATATGATTTTAGTGTATTATGTGTAAGATTGTCTAATCGCCCATACGACCTAATATAGTTCATACATCCACTGGTTGGATCGTTAGGTTCCGATGGACATGGAGCAAAGTAGTTTGAAATTATTAATTATATGTTCCTATGAAGGTGAGCATTATGTAATTGGTTTAGAAGAGGGCACCACGCTCGAGGATCTTTACCGGAATCTATCGAAAAGATGGAATAAGGTGAGTGTTGAGGCGGTGAAACTCCAATATATTGCACCTATTCAGAAAAGCTGACGTTATTATGTGACGATGATTTCGCCAATATGTGGAAAATGCATATCTTGTTAAAGGTAATGTTTGTGGATATGATTGCACGGTGTAAAAGCGAGCACCAGAGCGTGCCTCTCCGAAGCACGGTTGGACGCAGGTACTTTACTCATCATTTGTAATTAAGTAGTCTTTATTCAACTTTGTTCTAGAATGCAGTCACAATTGTGCCTTATGAAAGAATGCAGTCTGTAAGCACTTATAATGCAGTATGTAAGAATACAGTTTGTAAGCACTTATAATGTCATGTTCAATACATCTAAAAACATGTTGTTTATAGGTTACGTTAGTAATAATTCTTTCATGATATTGGCATACAACAATACCGTGGTATATTGTTGCGATGTTGTTTGTAGGTGGTAAGTATCCACCTCCGCGATTTTGTAGCAACGCGGTGCAGAACGAACCACGAAGAGATTGTAAAGATATGTAGTGGGGATATAACGTCTTGAAGGTATTTAACGATTTTCACTCCTTCTTTACACGCCACTGTCAATATCCTCTAGCAATCCGGTTTAGGTAGATGTACCATGATCGATGTGTTGAAATTTCCGTAGCCCGTGGCATTTACTGCATCACGTAGCCTGCTGCGGTGAATAGATGCAGTTGTTCTTTAAATACCCTGGATGACACGGTAGGTAACCGTAGACACCGTGGACATACTCGGTTGAGTAAGATGGGTACCCATGTTTTTCTATTTACGAAGAAAAGATCTGTTACTATATAGAATTAGAACTACTTACATCTGACAGAATTTTCATTCTTATTATTGTATTTGTACTGCAAGGGTGAGACCGAATGTTCGGGATTGAATGAAGATGGCGCATGTGGTATCTTTATTCCCGACGAAAGTACTAGTCTGATTGCAATGCAGAGATGCATTGTCGGGGAAGGTCAGACATTCAAGGGACCGCAGGAGTTTAGAAAGTTATTGAAGAATTATTCTATTGCCACTCATAAACACTTCAAGTACCAAAAGAATGATTCGAGCAAAATTATTGCGGTGTGCATCGACAAAGGCTGTGGTTGGCGTATTTATGTATCCTTCCATGCTTGTGATGCGTCATTCAGCATTCGTAAGTGCAATTTACATCACACATGCACTCTGAGTCTATTGCAATCAAGTGATAATCCAACAACCGATGCGAATTGGATTTCTGAAGTCTACAAAGATAAGATACGCTTTATGCCAGCATATAAGGCATCCGAGATCCGGGAGCATATCCAAACAGATTATAGGATTGACGTGAAATATCATAAAGCATGGCGTGGCAAGGAGAATGCCATAAGGGCAATTAATGGTGGAGGTAGAGACAGTTTCTCACAATTTCCGTGGTACTGTCATGCACTTCGGGAGTCAAATCCGGAAAGTATTATAGATTGCGAAGTTGAGCAGGCAACCAAACATTTCCAGCGTCTTTTTGTTTGTTTAGGTGCATGCCGGCTGGGTTTTTTGAGGGGTTGCAGGCCCCTACTCTTTCTTGATAGGACGCATATAAAAAACAAACACAAAGGGTGTCTGCTAAGTGCAATTGCAGTGGATGGGGATGATGGGATGTTTACTTTAGCATTTTGTGGTACGTAATTTGATATTAGCTACGGTTGTCATTTTGTTAAAATGCTGGGTATAGCTGTTCGTGTGTGCTGTTTTCCATGCGATTTGTTATACGTTGGAAACATTTGTAGTTATTTGTATTCTTATTTGTTGACTTGCAGCTGTGTCTACGGAAAATAATGAAAATTGGGAGTGGTTTTGCTGGAAGCTGCGATCTGTTTTAGAATGTGAGGGACGTACGGATTGGAAACAGTACACATTCTTCTCGGATTGGCACCCGGGTTTACTAAAGTCAATCCCATGCTTCTTTTCTGGAGCACATCATGCGTACTGTCTTCGACACTTAGTGGACAACTTCCGTACCTAGGTATATGTATGTCAATATTAATTTGTAATGAACATCACTGGTTATGATCAGCCAAACAATGTCTTCTTTTTTTAGGTTATGCGGAGATACCCAATGCATAATAAGAAACGATGGACCGCTGTCTTCAACAAGGCCGCCTATGCTCCGTTGAGGAGAGATTTTGAAAACCACATTAGTTCTGTGGTCGAATCAATGCCATTGGCCCGGGACTTCATTACCCAATCACACCCAGAATGTTGGGCAAATTCACTATTCAAAGGCACTTGTCGGGGAATAATAAATAATAACATTGCTGAGTCATGGAATAGTTGGGTGAGATCCGCGAGGTCAATGCCATTCGTTGGGATGTTGGATGCCATTAGAAGGCAAGTGATGGTAAAGATGAATGAACGCCGCGAAAATTCGGAGATAATGCACGGAAGGCTTTGTCCAAAACAGGAGAGCAAGTTGGCACTGTTGTACATGGCGTCTCGACGGCTACAGTGCAGTTCATCCTCTAGAACTGTATTCGAGGTAACCGATTGTAATAAAAGATACGCAGTCGATTTGGAGGCACACAAATGCTCTTGTCGAGAATGGAAAATGTTTATATTGCCCTGCAAGCATGCCTGCGCTTGCATTGAAAAATGCAGTATGTCAATTTATGATTTATGCGATCTTTACTATAGCATTGAATGCTACAGAAAAACGTACCAGGAACCAATAAATCCCGTACCGACGCATGATATGGACGTGATTGTTGAAATTCAGGCGGACCAAATTCACCCTTTTCCGTAATCTGTCCAATCAGGCCGGCCAAAGAAGCGAAGGCTCGAGTCCCAACAGGTAAAGAATCCACGATAATGTGGTCGTTGTGGGTGTCTTGGACATAATAGAAGAAGTTGCAAGCAACAAATAGATTAGCGAACCTTTTTTTCATTGTACATCTTTTTGGCTTCCAAGAGTATATATTAAGACAGAAGGTATGGATTCAATAGCTATATTGTAATTGCTTTTTTGTGTCTCTAGGATGTAACCGGTTGAATCCACCGACTTATTTGCAGTAGTAAGTGGTATGTACCCCTTTCACGCAGGTATATGATGAAGTTGTGGAGGTTCATAGTTATATTCTGCAGGTATATTTTTCATGTACTGAGGCATTTGATGATGTAGCTCTGTAGGAACGGATGGTTAATATAATATCTAATTGTTTTGAAGGTACATGCTATCCTATTTTTTGGTTATTACTAGGAGTTATAGTTGTATTAAACTCGTCATACTAACCAACTGCATATGTCATACAACTTAAGTATTTGTTGATGCATTCTTTAACCATCAGTAGTAAATACATGCTATTTGAAGTAAAAAAAGATTGTTTCCCCAGCCACAGGTAACCAGGGCATACATAATTGCAACTGAAGTATAATGTCACGGTTGTTGTAAGTATGCAGTAGCTTACGGAGGGTATATGCATTAATGATTCCAACATATAGGGTTGCGGTCCGAGTACAAACCATATCTCATTTTGTTTCTACGGTATTTAAATTGTATTACCGTGTAATAACTTGGAGGCGTAGTATTGATTAAAATTCAGCACACAGCTAAGTACCAGACTTCCACATGCCACACAACTATATTGTGGTTATATTATCGTGTCTATTCTATTGTGTTCTAATTCAATTAACGGGTAAGCGATGTAAGTTTTAACCGTGGCCTAAAACACGCCATTCAAGATTATAGGGTTGACGAGAAACACTACCATGGTTAAACCAATACACTCTTACCATCATTTCGTGAATATTTTAAGAGAAAAGGCCGAGTCCCCACCCGCAGGATACCAGAGCATTTGAAATGGTAACGGAAGTATAAAGTCTATTTCTGTAGGTATATAATAGATACTATAGGGTATTTGTATTAATGACTCCGTTACTTATGCATCTGAGCCGAGTACCGGACTCGCTGAACGAGGTACACAGATTGCGTACGCGGGTATCTGTGTTGTAGTTGTAAGTATCCTAGTTGTAGGTATAGTAGCACTTATCTGTAACCACGTGTTTCTTAGCATTTCGCAGGAAATAGTTGATTGTAATCTAGACGTTGGCCCACACGCAATTACTAGATACCCATGTCCCGCACAAATAATTTGTTGTAATATTATCATGTTGTTTTAGTAGTGTTTGTTTTAAATTAACGGGTAAGCCCTTGCAGTTTCACCGGTCGATTAAAACATGGCGTCCAGTAGGGTTTCATGAGAAACGACGACACGGTTGAACTAATTCAAAGTGAACGCTATTTCAGTGATCAGTGCAAAAGAAATGGCCGGTCCCACAAACGCAAGTGACTTGAGCATGTAATATATAAATGGAAGTACATACTAGTTTAACGTAGGCACATAAAAGCTATCAACGGGTATCACCACACAACGCAGGTATATAATGAAGATGACAAATCAATCCACATAAAAGACATTTACCAATTCCATCAGGGGTTGGATATTGTTCCATCGGGGTCTACGTTTCAGAGGGGGGACCTTTCAATATCCTCGCCGCAATCATGTATCGGTAGCTCTTGACATCACCGAAGTCCTCGCCGAGGACGCCCACGACATTGACATCTGGACCTGCCCGCGCATAACACTCTGCGAACATGCAGACTAAAGGTCCACAGGCCAGCGTTTCACCCTGGTGTCGGCATCTAATGTACTCGGGCGTGTCGCTGACCATAGGCCATAGTCGTGACGCGTTCATGTACAACGATAAAAATCGCGTCTGCACAAATAACGTTACTCTTTCGTTAAGGAATTCAGCCTACCCATAGGCAATTAATTATGATCATTCGACAAACGTACCAATTTCTTTGCATTCCCCTGGCCGAAGGGGTTGCGCATTGAGTTACATTCCAACACAACGCGTTTGACGGTATCCAATATGCAGAGATGCCAGTGGAACCGGGTGTGTACGGGTAGAAATATGTACCGGCACCCAGACCGGATTTTGTCCATGATTCCGACGATCTCTTGGCCTACGGTCACTTGTAGCGAGTTGGAAAACGCGAGCACATTACCCCTATTGATGATCGGCTTTTTCGCTCCCCTGTTTGGTCGTGATAGCGCGTCGTTCACGGCTTTCTGAAAATCAAACACAGCAACCAACGCAATAATAACAGTGTGATTTGTAATACTAACCGTATAAATTTCAAATAGGATACTCACAGCTACGAACCATGGCACACAACCACACCGCACCTGCGGATTGTGTTGGAGCTGATATTCATTGCTGCATAGATGATGTAGGTACGCGTCGATGACTTCGCCTTTCACAGCTTCGTCAAACAGTAGTTCTAAAACGGCATCAGACGAGACAGACACCACGCCCTGCTGCCATACAGTGTCCCTACAAGATGATAGTCGCAAACGGATAAAAACATCAATTGAGAAAAATATATAAAGCCTTAATAGTGAATAGCAATACCGGACGGCGAATGACGCGAGAAATTATTCAATGGTGTTCGTCTCATCCTCAGATAAGGTACCCTTTCCACAATAGCTGTCGTTATTGCGATATCCCTCCCATTTTTGTGCTCCAGAGTATGCTACAACCGTAGCATCCAAGTCTCCATCGTCGCCGACAACAAATAGTTCCTAAACCAACAATGAAGATAATCATGTTTCCGTATGTATCTGTATTTATTGTACAGGTATTGACTCAGAAACACTGGGTATTTAAGAATCTATCCGAAGTATTTCAAGCCAGACGACTGATATTTGTATCAAACTACGTACCTGCTCATTATTGACGTCGGCCGCTAACTTTCCTTTCGCCCTCCATGATTTTCTGGCTTTCTTAATTCGCGGTGTCGACACAAGTGTCACAAATTCAGGCTTCTTCTTTCTCTTCCGATCCTTACGTGCCATTACACCACGTACGATCGATGAATCTGCGGCCCTGCTACAAGTCTCACGGTCGGACTCATTGGCCTGCTACAATTTCAACAAAGCAAACAATCATTCAACAGATAGACAACTACGACTTACAAATTGTACTTACTATATTAATTAGCTTACCTTGACATCTATCGGTGCAATATAAGGAACAATGGCCATCAGTTGGTTAAACTTTTGCAGGCCATCAACCCCTTCGTCATCTGACTCGTTTATCGGATCAACTTCGGCCAAAAGGATGTCCATTTTTTTTTGCTTCGTCGCTCGGTATTCGTTCGCTCTTCCGCTGCCTCGTCGGGATCCTTCTCAGTCTGACTCTCCTCCTCCTCAGTTTGTTTCTCCTCCTCCTCCTGACCCTGACTCTCCTCCTTAGTTTGCTTCCACTCCTCCTGACCCTGTTTCTCCTCCCTGTCGGCCTGCTTCTCTTCCTCCGAGTCCTCTTCGGTCTGATCTTCCTCATCCCCGTGCAGTTGTTTCCTCTCTGACTCCACAGCCATCCGGTCTGCTGTCTCCTCCTCGCCATCGCTCTCATCTTCGTACTCACCTTCACTGTCGTCATCGACAACACCAGCTCTAGCTCTTTGCAATTTATGAGCAAGTTTGGCAATTGCAGCGTCTTTCTTCCGCAGCTCCACCTTCAATGCCGCAATTTGCTGAGCTGCTTCCTGCAACATATGTTAATAATGTCATATAAGAAATTATTTTATCAATTTACAATGGTAGCAACATTAAATAATGCATTTACCTCTTAAGCATGGCAAATTGCACGAACAAACTTTTCTTCCGTGCCTATCCGATAGAATTCCTGAATATCTGACCGCTTTAGGGATGTCAATTCACCAACTGCATGAACCCTGGACATTGGACCGAGGCTATTCAGCTACCGAAAGAGATGCGGTACCTTCGGAAGGCACCGTGCCTTGTCCAAAGTTGGAACCCTCTCATTGAACCAAGCCTGCACATATTGTAATAGACATTACTGCCAACAATAATATATATTGTGCAATATGCCAAAATAAGTAGAAAAAATTAACAAATCCGATATTACATTGCTTACAAACAAACCGGCGGTGCAGCCTGTCAAATATTCTTTCCCGGACTTGAAGTCGCTTATAGACTTCAACAGATAACGGTGACTTGCGGGTCCCCACGCATAGTCACCAATCGCAGTCAGGTTTTCCACCAACGGTAACAAAAAAAGGGGTACAAAATAATTCGCAGAACAAAATAAAATATTTACAAAAACAAGCAAAATAAAGAGACGGGCAATGTCCGCAACAGAAAGAGGCTCCAGCCCCTGCAACAGAGCCTCACGCAGCTTCTGCAACACCTAACCGCGGGTTACAGAACGCGGCTTGCTCCCAAAAATCCGAACAAACCATTCGCTTTCGACCGATGTGTGTTCGGTCACGTAGACTCCTTTCGCATGTAGTCCTAAGACTACAGAATATTCCTCAACTTCAAAGGGAAGCTCAATGTCACTTCCAATCTTGAAGGACATAGATTCTGAACTAAAGCTATTGACGAGGGCAACAAGTCGGTGCCACAGAAACTTCATTTTCAGGCAATCTAAAAAATGCCCGAACGGGATCATTTTTATGGTTGTGATGTGTTCGTCCATCATGTGTTGCTTCAGTTTCCCCACCTCATTATGAAAAAATGGTAATGCAAATCAGTTAATTACTAATTTGTGCTTTTTCCCTGGCCTGTAAGTAAAAACCATAAGTCCACTTTATCAAAATATCTAATTTAGTTAAAAGTTTTTCACAATTTATCAGGAGTAAAAACGCATTCCGAGTATACAATAGTTCTATACAGGTATATTACTTAGCAAATTAGACCAAACAAATGAAACTCCTGGTACCTAATAATACCATATTTGTCAACCCACAAATATGACTAATTACCGAACAATCCACCAAAAAACTTAAAATATGCAACTTCGAGTAACTAACAAATATACATCTCCAAAATTAACAAAATCAAAGGTAAAACAAATATAATCACCCAAAATCGGTGCATAAATAGAACGCCAAACCGGGTTTCCTGGCCAAAAATTTGAACAATTTCAAACTCGTTGAACAAACACAACACCGAACACCAAGGGCACCTCATCACCGAACCGAGGCATACAAACACGGGACCAAAGCTTCTACCCCAAACAATCGAATAAACTACGGTATAAAATTCGATTGTCAACAAAATCATAAAACGAAAAGGGTTTCAACCATAAACTTATTTCTTCGAACTCCTCGTGGGGGATCACGGCGGGTTCGCTCACTACAAAAAAATATCAATTTTGTAACAAGATTTTCTCGTTGTTAAATCCATTTTTTCCGTTACTAATGATATTAGAGACGGAATTTGAGATGAAATTACGTTAGCTACGTGAACTTTAGGAACGGAATTCCGTTACAAATATACTAGTTTTTTGTAGTGGCTGTTTTCCTCACCATTTCGCTCAACGAATGTGTTACTGCTTGATCGTCGAGTTCGCGATGGTCGATTTGCTTCTCGAAGAACTAGGGCTTGGACGGAGAGTGGGGGAAGTTAGGGAAGGTTTCAGCTCTTAAATCGTACGTATTTTTTGTGATTTTTTTTTTTTGAAAAAAATCACAAAATAAGGTTCGCAGTATTTAAATGGAATTATCTAATCGTATACTGGGGGTAGAGCGGGAGGTAATGTATGTATATATTATAAAATTGGAAGTATTTATTAAACAATCGTAAGTACATGTTGTATATACAACTGTGATTGAGTGGAAAATACAAAAAGGGAGTTATAACATATCTAATCAATAAAGTAGGGTTGCAGATCAATTAATTTACAATGGGGACTGAATTGCAAGTAAATTAAACTGATAGAGATTTTAGTCCAAGTCTCCCATAATTCTTTTCCAAAAAAAGAAAGTGACAAAATAAGTGGGACGGATAGAAATGGAAATGTGGACATGAGAAGTAAGGCAATGGAGTATTTTTATTTTCGTATATTCTACATAATTTATTACTCTCTCCGTCCACACACAAAGTAAACATTTACTTTTGGCGCGATGTTTAAAAAATAATAATATTTTAATTATAGTGGGTAGTTAAAAGTAGTAAAATGACATTTTTTGCCTTTGCTTTTTGGTGTAAAAGTAATGATGTGATGTAAAGTAAGGGTATTTATGGAAAAAAATGAGGTATTTAATGAAATGTTTACTTTGTAATTGGACGTCCTAAAATAGAAATATGTATACTTTATAGCCGGACAGAATGAGTACGTTTTAGAAAAATCATACTATTTTGGTCCCAAAAGAGTTGTTTTATTTTTTTATTTTCGTTCGTTTCAAAACAATTGTTTGTTTCCGTATTAGTGAACGTGGTCCCCACTTTACACAAAATTATTCTTACTTTTCTCCAACTACTCATAAATTATTACTCTAATCTACTTTTTAAATTTTTTAAAAAACAACGGTAATTTAATCTTTTATATTTTACTTTATAAATTACTTTCAATTAAATACTATTATTCCTTCGTTCTCGTGTCAACTCCTAACAAGACATTTTTTATGGACAGAGGAGTATATTTAACTGTTAATTCTACTAAAATCCTTGATTCGCAAATTACTTTCCTTGTGAGTCCTGTTTATATTCCTTGTAACTTCTTATTTCTTCCCCACAATTCCCAATTTACAATTTTACATATTTTTACCAATAAACTTCCAATTTTGCCCTCAAAGTAATATTTTATTTATTATTATATATACCTAGTGTAACAAAAACCCTTAATTTATGTAAATAATTATTAATTTAATTTTTTTTTTTCAAAATGACTGCGAGCTAGCGGTATAGAATGTTCGAAGTATATATACATTCACTTATTTATAATTTATTAAATCGAAGATTAATATTCTTTATAAATATTTTGTATTAAGATTTAATTGTTGCAAACATTTAAATACATATGTGATTTATTTTTTATTCGATCAAAATTAATATTTTTTTATAAATATTTTGTATTATTATTTAAGAGTTGCAAATATAGTATTTCTTTTATAATTATTTACTTTTTATATTTTTTATCTATCCACTTATTTATTTATGTTAATGGTAAAAAAGTGATATTATATGAATAAAAATTAAAAACTTTGTGAAGATATGAAAAAAAAAAAAAAATTGAAGTTAATAAAACAAAATAAATAAAAGTATTTTAGGAATTTCAAGTTTATATGGAGTAAAGAAGAATAAATTAATAATAATTGAGAATAAATAAGAACTTAGTGTATAAAAAGTAAATACAAAAATTGAATTTAGAATTAGACAATAAAGTAAAAATTACTCATATTTTAATTATATTTAAAATTTTTATAATAATTATCTTATTTTTAATATATAATTATTTATATTATATAATAATTATTTTTATTTAATACAATTTTTTATAGTTTCATTGCTACTAGAGTACACGATTTCATCAATCTTGTGTATATGTTATGACATGGAGTTTCAAAACTAATACCCCTTCCTGCAAACATTTAAAATTGTCTTATTGTTACTCAAACATTTAACTCGCATTAAATAATAAAATATAAATTATAATTAACTGACATATCATCCCAAATTTTCATCTTTCTTTACACATACAAAATTGTCTGACTTTATTTAGACACCACGCGCCGGACCCCCCGCGGTGCCCGGGACCCATGAACCAGATCCACAATTTATCATGAATTTCAAGCTACCGTCTACCATGATCCACCTACTACAACCCACAACCCATCACAAACTATGAGCCACCACCTACTACAATCCACAAAGTTCAAAACCCAATTTGTGTCCAAAATTCAAGATGATCGGTAATCCTAATTGATTCTTGAAAATTTCAAAAAATTTCTCTAACAAGCAACTGATTTTTAAAACCACCCAACACGATCCACAACCTGTCACGAGCTACAAACCACTATCTACCATAATCCACCTACCACGATCCACAATTTATCACATGAGCTATGAGTCATCGCCTACCACGATCCGCAATGTATATAGAGTCACTGCCTATCATAAACAACCACTTTTATAAAATAAAATATTTAAAAAATATTTTTTTTATTAGAAATAAAATAATGATTTAAAAAAATATATTGTAACCATGGGTATGTTTCATTTTATCAAGTTTGAAAATTGTAGGTTTAGATTTGATATTAAAATAAAGTATGATGAGATGTTTTATCAATTGTGAGAGAAAAAAATATATTTTTTTCAAACAAAAATACAGAATACAAATAGTAGATAATTGAAGTTTGGAGTGTAAAAAAACACAACCTATATTTCTAGAATTAAAACTACGTAAATACATTTGTAGATTAGAGATTACCTTATTTTATTTTTTTTATATAGACTGCAATAAAGTTTGACAGCAAAGTAATTTGACATATGTTTACAAATTTAGAAGATTCACCTGTTCAATGGCTGAAGGCCAAAAACAAAGCCAGACTTGCGCCTAGCTTTTTTCTGTCCAAGAAGAGCGTCCAACAATACCATCTGCATTTTTATAACAATTATCGTAAATTTCAACAATAGTCTATGAATTTTAATAATTACAAGGCTTGATAAAAAAAAAAAATACTTGAAAAAAATGAAACAAATAAACAAATAGTGAAATGTGTATATATTTATGCTTTGTCTAGAAATTCAAATTTTCAAAGATTGGAGCTAGCTGATGAATTACGATAAAAAGCATACTCCTCCTCATGGCGAAGAGCAAAAGCAAAATAAAAGTAATAATTTTTATAGCTTCCATATGAAAATCACAAACATACTAAAAAATTTTCCTATTGACATTTTAAATCAGGGATCTTTACATATGCAATAAAGGGCGAAATGAAAGGCTACCATTTCTTAATAAGTGACCACAAATAACATATAGGGCATCGAATCGGGGTAAAAAAATTGTCAAATTATTTTTCGGCACACTGAATTAATGATTCGGGATCCTCACATAAGTTCAAATAGTAAGAAACCATTGAAATCAGCCAAACAAAAGCAAGATTCTCGATTGAACTATAGCTTCGAACAATAAAAATAAAAGATAATCAATTCTTGCAACTAATTGAGCATTTAGGAATTATCAAATCTTTATATTTAGTCTGATGGGAATCCAAAGGCAAAAAGAATTGAAGCGCATTTCATACTGTCTACTTTCATTTAACAACAAAAATTAACATTCCATAAAGAAAATCTCCCTTAGACAATGTAAATCAACCAACAAACAACAGATCTACAATTCTGATAAAAAATAAAATGTTGTTCAATAATGGCGAAAAAATACTGAAGTTAGGGTAAAATTATTGTAAATAAATATGGAGCATTAACAATTAGGGATGAACATGTACTAAAAAGTACTAAAATTTTTGGATCTAGATAAGAGTTAAAAAGATAGATCGAGGCTTACCAAATTTCCCGATTCCGCCCAATCCCAAACTAAACCGAAATGAATCATGCATCCCCGTTGTCGCAGCGGATGAAGCTATAGACTTTAATTCGTCCATGGATGACGAAACTGTACCCTCAGATCTGAGTTGATGTTGCAGGCAGGCTTATGCGCTCTTCCAAAATCGATTTCGAGTTTGGTAAATTTTGGGCAAAATGAGAAATGGACTTTAGTGCGAGAGATTAGATAGCAGTGGAGATAGAGATTTAGGGTTAGGGAGAGAGGGCAAAGGAATCCATGGCTGCGCTGGAGGGGAAATGGATTGAAGCGATGCAAAGGCTACAGGGTTAATTAGGGTTGTGATATAGTCTATGGCTCCTTTCACCCACCGAGCGCTTTTACATTTAGGGTGTGTTCGTTTGTAGAATTCTACCGTTCATTCAATTTTTTTTTCCCAAAAGCATCAAATCAAACACCTATTTTTCATTTTTTATATTATACTAAAAATTAATTTTACATTCAAAACATTACATCAATACCTATTTATATCACATCATACAATTATTCAAATTCAAAATTTTTACTATTCAAATCCTAACTCAAAATCCAAACCCCGAACAAACACACCCTAAACTGATTTTTTGGTGTTATTCGTAATTATTTAAAATATATTATTATATTTTAATTTTTTAATAAATAATTTAATTTTTTTATTTTTCAAATTTCTTTTATTTTTATAAAAAAATATTTTATATTATTTATTATTATTTGTAAAAATCGTAACTAAAAAATAGCGTTGATGAGCCCAGCCTATTAATTTAAAGATTTAATTGGTTTTTATTAAATTTTAAAATGATTTTTAAAAATATGAAATGACTATATTTTAAAAATTCAACAAAATAAATCTGGATTAAACAGTAAGTATTTGCTGTATGATTTTATTATTATTAATATTTAATTTGTGCGTCAAAGAATTTTTTTTTTTAATTTTAAATCTCAAGTTTTTATTATTTGAATTTAATTTTTTAAAAATATATATATTTTTTTCTAATAAAATATGTTACTATTAAATATTATTTTAATATCAAATTCAAACTAAAATTGTAGTCTAAAATGTTGAGTTGTCTCAAGCCATTTAGGGTTTATTTGTTTGGGTATTTGATTTATTTGAAGGGTGTGTTTGTTTGGAGGTTTGGATTTTGAGTTGAGATTTGAATAGTAAAAATTTTGAATTTAAATAGTTATATGATGTGATATAAATAGGTGATGATACGATATTCTGAATGTAAAATTGATTTTTGTAATAATATAAAAAATGAAAAATAGGTGTTTGATTTGATTTTTTGAGGGGAAAATTTTGGATGAATAGTAGGATTTTGTTAAAAACCTACAAACGAACACACCCTAAATATACTATACATTCCATTTTTTCTCTCATAAATATCAAATCAAACATATATTTTTTATTTTTTTATATTATACTAAAAATAAATTTTACATTCAAAACATCATATCAACATGTATTTATATCACATCATACAATTATTCAAATTCAAAATTTTTACTATTTCAAATTTTAACTCAAAATCCAAATGCCAAACAAACACACCCTTGGAATGAACGGAAGCATCAATTACATTTCAACACGGACAATTATCATTATCTTGCATTGAAATCAACATCGAATGAATGCTAATAAGGAGTAGTTTTGAAAGTTCATTAATTCTTCCGCCCATTCGGTATCCTATCACTACGAGACGGAATCATTTTTATAACGAGATTTTTTTTTGTTTTTAAATCTATTTTTTTTCGTTACTAATTATATTAGAGACGAAATTAATGATAAAATTATGTTAGCTACGTGATCTTCAGGGACGAAATTCCGTTATAAATATACTATTTTTTTTAATGTATCATGAGCTTTCTCCTTAAATTTATTTTTAATTCATAAATTCTATTTATAATTTTAATTTAAAAAATATTTTTGTTACAATATTTTTATTTTAATCATAGTTCTATTTTTTACTAATATTTTATTTTATTTATTATTTTTAAACTGATTTTTTATATTTATAATTCACATTGATTTTAAAAAAAGGTTAAAAGAAAAAAGCTAAAATAATAATTAAAATAATTAAAAAATAAAAAAGCAACTACTAAAAATTAGCATGAGATTTGGGGTGTGTTGGATCTCCGACGAGATGTCTTGGTAACAAAGTTATCATTTTTGTCGTGTAAAAGATAGTTTTATATGGAATAAATTTAAAATCGTAGAGTTATAAATTTAAATTTTGACGCCTTGAGATCCACGTATCACACATGGGATGTGTTTGTTTGGGGGTTTGAATTTTGAATTGAGATTTAAATAGTAAAAATTTTAAATTTAAATAATTATACGGCTTGATATAAATAGGTGTTATACTGATGTATTGAATGTAAAATTGAATTTTAGTATAATATAAAAAATAAAAAAATAAAAATTTTAATTTAATGTTTATATGATAAAAATAAAGAGAGAACAGTAAATTTAAAATTCAATCCCGAACAAACACGCGCCAAAGTTTACTCATATTACACTGATGAAATAAAGGTTAGAAAAATTCTACACTATAAAAGAAATACAAATATATCATTCTTATACAGTACAACAAGTCCCAGCTATGGCAAACTATACTTCTCCAATTAATCTACTCCATTCAAAGAACGGGCCCCACATAAATGAACGGTTCCGATTGACACAACCTTAGGAACCCGTCAAGAAATGCTTTTGACTTTGGCGATGCTTCTTTCCCGCGTTGATCAAATGCTTCACCCTCTTCCCTTCGTCTTCTTCCCCAGTTCGATTGCAGTTACAGTTGCAGTATTCTGCCGACGCCTGACCTGACCCATTCATCGTCCTCCCTCGTTTAATTGCAAATGTGTACTTTAATTTCTCCGCCTCTCCTTCCCTCCTCATGTCTACCCGTTCACCATGATCGACCTCTTCATCTCCTACATGCTCCTGCTCCTGCTCCTGCATTCCCTTTCCCAACCAGTCAGAGGTAGTTTTAATTTATTTATTTTTTTTAAAAAAAAGGGAAGAACAGTAACGGAAGGGGTACATCATATGATATCTGATTCTGTGTTTTACTTCTACACTCGCTCTGCAAAATTTCAGCAGTTCTATCGATTTCGATATTATTTGGGTCTAGGGTTTCTTAATTTACCCCCAAATTATTCCCTGATTTAAATTGGCAGGCGTGCTTATAGACTGTGGATCCAACTTCCGTTCCTCAATCAACGGCCAGGAATGGCTGCCAGACACTGGCTACATATCCACCGGCACTTCCAAGACGATTACGGCGCGAGGGCAGTCCCAAATTCTCTCTACTGTCCGTACATTTCCTCTGCAGGGAAATCTCTTCAGGAAGTTTTGCTACGAAATTCCTGTCAATAGAGCTCAGAAATACTTGATCAGGACGACTTATTACTATGGTGGAGTGAATGTGAATGGGAATAGGAATTTGAATTTGAATCCTCCAGTGTTTGATCAGATCATAGATGGGATATTTTGGGGTGTGGTGAACACAACTGAGGCTTATATGAAGGGAAATTCGAGTTATTACGAAGCTATTTTTATGCCAAAGGGGAAGAATTTGAGTGTGTGTTTGGCTGCAAATGCTTACACTGATTCTGACCCTTTTATATCTGCCCTTGAAGTTGTGGTTTTGTTGGATCAGGTTTATAATTCTACTGATTTCAATCATTATGCTTTGAATTTGATCGCCAGGAATAGTTTTGGGCATGATGGGCCGGGGATTCGGTGAGCTTTGCGATCTTGTTTATTTCTATTTGATGTGTTGAAGTAGTTTTTGGGTGAATAATTAGCTTTTTGTTATATTGGTTTTGTGGCTAACCTTATTTGAGTGAATGGTTGGGAATTTTTCGTGTTTGTTTTGTGTTTTTGGATTTTCATATCGTTACTTCTATTGAATTGTCTGTGCATTGTTTGTTATTGTTTAAATAGTAGTATTGTATTCATCTGAAAATTCGAAGATTACATGCTTGTTTATTGTTGGCATGTGGAATTTGGATTATTGGATTGTTTGATTCTTAGTGTACAATGATTAAATTGTTATAGTAGTAAATTTTATACTTTTCCTGTTCATAAAATATATGTTCATTTGAGTTGGACATTGGTAGTAATGAATATAGTATTATATTAGTTGATTGTGACATAAAATATGAGTATTTTGAAAAATATACGAATGAGTTAATAAGGTGAGAGAATTTTGAGAAATTGAGTGTGTAATGGTTGTTGTGTATTTGTAAATAAGTAGAATATTGAATAGGATAAATTAAGTAGTGTGTAAGAGTTTGTTGTTATAGATAAAAAATGCATATTTTTGTTTGGTAAAATAAACATATATTTGGTGGATGTATTGACTTCAAGTTGCTCCGGTGATTATAAATCATGTTTGATTTTTCAAGAAGAGTAATTAATCCTCGGTGGTTCTCCCATGTTATAGACTTGCTGTATTTAAATTCGAAGAAACCTTGCTTTTGCATTCTCACAAGATTATCTCATCAATGCAATAATGGAAGAAGAATCTTGATGGCTGCAGATCCTGTGATGATCCGGCCAAGTCAGTATAGTGCTAATTTGATTGGGTTAGCATATGCTATATGGGTGACCAACATATATTTATACTCTGTGTTATAAGATAACATATGTTGAATTATAATATAATATATGTTGTATTATAAATATATATTGGTCATTCCTATAGTATATGTTGATCCGGTCAAATCAGTATCATGCTGACTTGATGCCCAATCTTGATCATGTTGTTTTGATAGTTTTCCGTTGTCTAGCTAAGAAAAGGTATGTTTGTTCAACAGATACCCTGATGATCGTTTCAATCGCTATTGGGAGCCGTTTGGACAAGACACATTCCCCCAATTGAGTTCACAAAACCTCTCTGTTTCAGGCATATGGAATCTGCCACCTCAGAAGGTGTTCCAAACACGATTGGCAAGAAGCCAGCCGGAACCTCTAAGGCTAATGTGGCCTCCAAATCCTCTTCCAGTCGTCGTTCCTCCATATAACTATTCCATTGCTCTTTACTTTGCGGATGATCAAATTTCACGCAGCCCAAGAACATTCGATATAACCATAAACAGGGTTGATTTTTACAATAATCTGACTCTAACTCCATCTGGGGTCGTCATATTTGCGAATGAATGGCCTCTTGCTGGAACAACTGACATAACCTTGTCGCCTGCTCCTCAATCTACTGCTGGCCCTTTAGTAAATGCTGGAGAGGTTTTTCAAGTGATTCCTGCTGGTGAGAGGACTCTTGTGCGCGATGGTACGATGCTCTACTCATAATTTGGCTGTGTGACATATAACAATATAGATTTTATTTTTTCCTTTCAGATTTGCTCGTGTGTGTTTTTAAAATGATCATTTTTTTATATATGTTTATGCTTATAGCCTTGAAGGTTGATTGAGCTTTGAATTTTTTGAAATTTTCTAATTTGAATTCATTCTGAAATCAATTAGCATGTTGAACTTTTCGAATTCGCACAGCCTTTGTTCTTCGTGTTAGGTATCTTTGTGGGCTTCAGCCGATCATGGCGTGTGAGATCATATGAATTTTGCGGCTATGTATACAGAAAATTTTGAAACTTTCGGTATGATTCATCTAAGGTAACTTTTTCAAGAACATCATATCAAATACAAATTTTCTTTCACAAAACATTAGTAACATTTTACTATTTTTTTTTTTTCAAAACTCCAATCTATATAAACAATATTTTGTTAATTTATTTTCTTAGCTTATCTTATGAATATAATTTCTAAGTATAAACAAAATGTTGTGGCTTTCTTATTCACAGCAATTGCCATGGTTAGTTTGAGAAATAGCTTCAGAAACCCTCCGATTGACTGGAAGGGCGATCCATGCTTACCTAGCCGGTACTTGTGGACTGGAGTAACTTGCTCTCAAGGACCTCGGATTCGGATAACTATTCTGTAAGATTCTTACACACTACTTAATACATCGTAATGCTCAAACTAATGGAAACTCGTCGTACTCTCTGTTCTGTTCAGAAACCTCATGAGCATAGGTCTTGAAGGCTCAATTTCTCCGAGCATTGCAAAATTGACAGCACTGACTACTATGTGAGTTATTACATAGCTGCGATTGATATACTTACACTTACATCTATATATCTTTTGTTGATTGCTTCTAGATTTTAACAGCTTGCTCGGAAATAATACCTTGCATGGGACAATTCCGGACCTGAGTTCATTGAAGGAATTGGCTATTTTGTGAGTTAATAATCTTTAGATTTTGTTAGATATCGATTCATTTGAGTTCGATGAAAAGGGATATACTGATCCAAGGTTTTGCATTTGGTTAAAATCTTCTACTTCGCTTTTTTATTTTTTTCCTCAATATGATAAAATTTTCATTTTAGGCATTTGGAAGATAATTTGATCAACGGGATACTTCCTCCGTCGTTAGGAAACTTGACAAAGTTACGTGAAATGTAAGTTATATGCTTGTTTCATTTATTTATTTATTGTCGTTGAGTTTGAGTTCAACGATGGACTTACGAATAGCTTTTGATATAGCTTATCCCAAAATTCCTTTGACTTACAACATGTGCATGATCTACCTATATTTACTTAAATTAATGTGTAAATGCCCATTGTTTGTCGAAATTTTAGCAATTTTGAGGATTCGTTTTCTTTGATTTTCTTTTGATATAAAGTATCTCAATTTTCCTCGAAAACACTATATTCAATACACATTCTCCATACATAACATTCGCATTCAATAACTATTTCATCTCAAAAACATTAAAATTTAAAATGCATACATGTACGCACAAAACATCATAGGAAAACTCCGTCGTGTTTTCATTTATATTTTGGTCTGTTTTTATGATTTTTATATAATCTTCTAATATTCAATTTCCTAATTTTTGTCAAAAAAAACATAGCATCTAATATTAATTTTTTATTTAAAACATCACATCCAACAAATTTTTCATTTGAAATAACATCAAAACACAGAACACAATAAAGAATAAGGAGTGAACAACTGTCTTTCGATTTTAAAAATTTTGAGAAAGAAATGGATATTGAATGTAATATTTTTTTAGAAAACACAGATGTAAGCATAGTTTTGTCTAAATGTACAAGTTTGTGTTATATGCATTCTGTTGGCTTGAATTGTAACTTTAAAGACTGAATATATGTTTGATTTTTTTTTTTTTTTGCTCAGCTTTGTGCAGAACAACAACCTATCGGGTGATATACCGAAGACACTTGTTCAAATCCCGGGATTGACACTAAGGTACCCTTCCTTCAAGCTAATACACCTACACTACTATCATAAATCTTCGATTAGAAAAAACAACCAAAATGAAATATTTTTCTTCTTATCTTTTCAGATATACTCCGGGAAATCCATCAATCATTCCACCCCCGTCATAAGATTGTTTGATCAACCATTCTTTTGGTGGCTAATAAACAATTCTATATCTTGTGGATTGAGGTCAGTCTTTTTATGGTTAGTCCAACTGCATTTCGAGATAAATGTTTGTTTATTGAGTGAAGTAATGATCGATTGTTGTCGAAATCTCTTAGCCTTTTTGTTGGGACTGTGGTGCTTTGTGAAGAAATTAGATCTTTTTGAAACCTTTTCTTGTGTAGTTCTCAGCTAGAGCTAGTAAAGAATGCTTCCTTTTTCTGATCTATGTGGATATCCAACGTTACAAAAAATCAGCTTCAGAGCTAGATTCAACACCTGATCCGTCTCCTATTATGTTGTCCTATTCGAATTTTAGGGAAAAATTCATAATTGTCCCATGCGACTTGTCATGGTAACATTTTTGGCGGTTGTTTGTGCGCGGAATTAAGTTATTAAGTATTGTGCTGACAACACTTTGAATATTGACAGACATTATACATGCGACTTGTCATGGTAACATTTTTTTGGCGGTTGTTTGTGCGCGGAATTAAGTTATTAAGTATTGTGCTGACAACACTTTGAATATTGACAGACATCATATAACATATAAATAAACAATACAAACTTTGTGATAATATAAAATAAATACTATCATATGAATAGACAATGGTCAATGCATAATAATATTCCATAAAACATATATTATCATTGAATTCAACTCATAATATATATATATAGAAACAGCACACCATTAAAATATGATTTTACTGCACATGATTGCAGTATAGTGTTGATTAGTTCTAATCAATACTTTAATCAGTCCCAACACTTTTAGTCTAATTATTAGCTTTGTGACGTATTTGGTGCAATTCAAATAAAAATATTTCGTATTTGGTCCAAACGGCAAATAATAGGGCCTTAATGTATATATTTAAATTAAACATTTATTTTTGAAATTGAATATAAAAAGTACTGATATTTGTATAATAATAATAAAAAATAGAACAAACATAAATGATAAAACGTGTCAATTCTTCTTATACAGAGGGAGTATTTGATTATGAATTCATTAATATACAATTTTAGTGACATTTTTTTCTCTTTTTCATAGGAAAAAAAATATGCTATAATTTATTTTAGAAAAAATAAATATTTTACGAAAAATGTTCGTACTATTAAAATGTTGACTTACATATTTGCACGTATCGTAAATTAACAACTTATCTAAATTTGGAGTGAACCGAAAATATCAGATAAAATTTTTAGAAATCAATTTCAATAGAGAATAATTTAATTTACATGTTTACTTACTATCTATTTCTCTAATAAGATCTTTTATGTTTGACTCTTAAAGTAAGAAATTACTATTAGTTAAATTAGTATTTTTGGTTTTTAGGTCGCTTTGGTGAATCATGTGAATTTTGTATAATTAAGATAAAAAATGTAATTATATTTTTTCTTAGTATTTTCAGCTTTTAGGGCAGGGCCTAAATAATTTTAGATGGCCGAAAAACAATGCTGATTGAATCCGTTGGGTTGTCCGACTAATATTTTCTAATTTTGAAACAAAAAATGTTTATATAATATATATATATTGTACTTAGGATTTTTAGGGTCTAAAACAATATTGGTTAGTATAAACATCGTCAATTGGTTCATTGGGTTGTTTTGTACAAATATTATGAATTTCATCGAATTCCAAGACAAAAAATAAGTACATATCTTTTTAACGTTTCGGGTGTCATGACCTTAAACGACCATAGATGACATAAACATTGATGGTCATTTCATTAGATTGTTTCAAATGAATTATGTGAATGTTAAATATTTTATTAGTATGTTTTATTTTCAAGACTAATAATCTCCGATGGTCGAAAATATAGTTGCTATATTCGGTTGATCATTTTAGATAAACCATGTAAGTTTTGTCAAATAAAAAGAAATCATATTTTTAAACATTTAGGATGTTTATGATTCTAAACGATTTTATATATGACCAAAAATACTGCCATAGGTCACTTGCCTCGCCTAGTGTGACTTGCCTGTCGAGCGTAGTTTGCATGGTATTAGGTTCGGCCGAAGGCTTACTCAGTGCGCACTTTCGATAGCGACCGCGAGTTCTCACGTCATTAAAAAAAGTACTGCCGATTAACAATTAAAATGATTTTTTTTTAAGTATATATTTTGTCATTTTTTGTTATTCAAAAAAAAATATTACCTTATTCAAAATTCATTCCAAATTTTAGATTTGTATATCTCTTTTTAATATATATATATATACTCAAAACTGCATGTTTATTTATAAAATTAATTTTTATTAATATAAATAAATATTTATACTTCCTACATTTAGTAAGCATATATTTTGTCATTTTTTATCATTTAAATAAAATTATCCAATTTTTTTTAGTAAATATGAATTTCATTACATACTATAAATATCTTCACATTTATATATATACTCAATTATAAAAGTAAAATAGTTTTAACATGTCAAAACCATCATAAACTTAAAAAAAAAGTATTAATTTATAAGTGGAAGGGAGATTATATTTTATTTATGTGTATTATTTAAAATTTTATTTTTATTCATATTTTATATATTTTAAAATCAGAGTATTATTTTAAAATATTATTATTTTTATATATTTTAAAAATATTAAAAATCGATTATTTTTTATATTATAAAATAATTGTAAAGTTAAATTATAAATATATATATCAAATAATTTTAACCAAAAAGTGAAAAAAATAATAAATATGGCCTACAATATGATTATATTGAAAACATGGTCGTGAACATGGCTGTGTTGAGAACATGAGCAGGAACATTGTGTTGAGAACATGGGCATGAACATGACTGTCGAGAGCAGGAACATGGCTGTGTTGAGAACATGGACAGGAACACGGCCGTGTTCAAAAGTGCAGGGTAATCAACACGGCCGTGTTGAGACCAACACGGCCGTGTTGGCTGCCTGGAACACCCAGTCATCTTCTGAGTCATCCAACACGGCCGTGTTCAGTCCCAGTCAATGAGACTAAAATTGATATTTTCATTTGAGCGAGACTAAAATTGATAATTTTTTTTTAATGGGACCAAAATTGATAATTTTGATATTAAATAAGACAAAAAATAATTTTTACTCTGAAAAATTATATTTGAATAATTATTTGATACGATATAAAAAAAAATTAAGCTAATATTTTAAATATAAAATTAAATTATACTCACACTGTCTCACTTACCATGTACATATTGCTGTTTCTGTCCGTCCCACGTCTCAGGTTACTTTTTTTTTTTAAAAATGATTATCTTAATTTTATTTTAAATTTTCTAATTTATTTTCTTTTAATTTTAATTAAACTAATTAGTTATCTTAATTTTAAAATTTATATTTTTAAGTTAATTATTTTCATCAATATATTCTTAATTATCTACTAATTATAATTATCCTAAATTTCCGTGTCTATGGTGACCAAGACACCAAATGTGGGACGGAGATAGTACTATAATATAAAAAAAATAAAAAATAGAACTCTCCGTATCCATCCATTTTTATTTGTGTTTCTTTTGATGAGTTTGAAAAATATTTGATTTGAATTTTGTATAAAAATAATATTTGATAGAATATTTCGTGAAAAAAAAAATTATATATATATATTTTTTCTGAAAATACAGAGTAAATAGTAAAATCTGAAAAAATATTAACAAAGAAACATAGTAAAGCTAATTCTAATTAAAAAAATGTAGAAACTTTTCTTACACTTGGATTAGTTAATTATTATTTTTTAATATGAAAAAATCCAATAAAATACAGAATGAAAGTAAGGGTGTGTTTGTTTGAAGGATTTTGGTGGATTTCTATTATTCATTCTATTTTTTACCCCCAAAAACATCAAATCAAACACCTATTTTTTATTTTTTATATTATACTTAAAAATCAATTTTACATTTAAAACATCACATCAAACCCTATTTATATCACATCATACAACTATTCAAATTCAAAATTTTTACAATTCAAATCCCAACTCAAAATCCAAACCCCCAAACAAACACACCCTTAAGTGTTTCTTTTACTTGAGTTTGAAATTTTTTTTGTCCGAGTCGAGAAAAAAATTAAAAAAACAGTGGCCAAATAGTAAAATTAGAAAAAATTTGATTGTAAAAATCAATTCAAACATACCCATTATACCTTCCTTTATTCTGCCGTAGGAAAATCAAAACAAACGCAAATCGTTTATTCCTCTTCTCCCTTTCCCCCTTTCGCAATTCAAGTCCAAACCTAATCAGAAGTTTTCGATCAGCGTTGATTCGGTATGCCCGATCGGATTTAGATCTGTACCTGCTGTTGAAGTAGATTTTTATAAATTTGTTTATGATCGTGAATCTATCTTTTGAGTTTCTTGCCCCTTTTTCCATGTTTTAATGTACCGGAGTTTAAGGCTGAAATTTGAATTTTGTTGATTGCCCTTGTTCACATGGATCGTCTTCAATAATGTTTATCTATTTTGTGGTTAATTTTAACCTTGTGTATCTCGTTTTGCAGAAATTCAGTAGAATCCGCTGTATTTATTTATTTTAATAGATTGGCTAGTGATGATAATAGATATTGAAGAGCAATATTGTCTTAATTGCAGTGAAACATATTGTTGGATCAGCAAGAGATTAGTTTTTGGATTTAGACAATTGGAGTTAAAGTAGATAGTGTGATGCTATGCCTGTCTTGGAGAATAATTTACATGTGCTCTGTTTTCCGAAATTTTTAGGTGTTAGTTTATATTTCGGCACCGTATGCAATCCCTCTTAAGTAAAAAAAAAGCACCGAATGCCTATTTTTCATTCAAAGCTTGTGTCAGAAAATTTATTTTTCATTCAAAATATCATATCCGATGCCGATTTTCCATTAAAAAAGATTTCAAAAACACCCTAGATACAAACAAAAACGTCCATATATATATTTTTTTCTCATGTTACGAGTCACTTGTAGTAATTAAATATGTTTATTATGCTCTGTGTATATATGTATCTTTCTTTCTTTAGCACAAAATTTTAAAGTTTTAATTAATATTAAGGTGAGTTTACATACTCACTGTGAGGTATTGGACAGGAGTTATGTCGGTTGCACAGCCTCATCAGCCACAAGGTGGTCATTTTCGCACAAATGGTAGACAAACTTATGGTAGAAACAGCAGAGCAGGCATGAGAGCCCCAGCTGCTGCCGCTACTAATTACAACTGTTACTACAATAGTCATCCAAACTTTTATCCCATGAATCCTGGTCTACTCGGTGATTTTTCTCAAGGCGTAATGCTGGATTGTCCCAATTATGATGTGGTCTGTCTTGATGCTTTGCCTTCAAAGAGGAGAAAGGTCTCACATCCGTCTTGTGCAAATGCTGGGAGAAACCATTCACAACAAACAATGCAACAAAATGCTCTTACAAATAATGCTGAATGGTGGGAACACGTACCTCAGTTTGTTAGAACCTTCTGCAATGCCCCTTTAGTCAGTGAGAACCATTCAGACATTGTTGCTGCTCCAAGGTCTGATAACGCCAATGCACATGCTTCAACGACCTCCAAAAGGAATAGGTCTGATTTTGAGGATGATGCCGCAGCTGTTTTCATGTCCAGAGATGAGATAGAGAGGTGTTCTCCTTCCAGGAAAGATGGCATAGACGTGTTACAAGAGACACATCTACGATATTCATATTGTGCATTCCTTCAAAATCTTGGATTTCAGCTTGATTTGTAAGTTATTTATCCTGTAGGAAATTTTGTAGCAATTTGATGTGGGTTCTTATTGCTATTATATTTTATATATTTGTGTTTACATATTGACACACCATTTCCATTCATGTCCAGGCCACAAACCACTATTGGAACTGCCATGGTTCTGTGTCATCGTTTCTTTCTTCGCCGTTCCCATGCATATCATGATAGATTTGTAAGTTTCATCCCTATAAACTGGCACTTTGTATTGTTTTTGAAACGAGGTTTGGATGCTATAAATCTTCTGATTTGAGGAAACTCATTATATCTGAACTACTTTCTTAATATTTTCAATCTCGTAAACTGTATTGTACTGTCGAGTGTCAATAGAAAAGCTGATTAACATATATGCTTATTGCCGCAGCTAATAGCTGTTGCTGCACTTTTCCTTGCCTCGAAGTCTGAGGAGACAGCACGTCCTCTCAATGATGTATTAAGAGTATCATGTGAAAGTTTGCACAGGCAGGAGCTAGCGCTTCTCTACATGCCAATTGTTAGTATCTACTGTCTTTCTATGTTGTGTGCATTTTTATCTCCTTTGAGTGCAGTGGCAATCCAAATTCATAGTTCTCAAAGTCAAGCATTTGTCTATTCTACAATAAATCAGTGGTTCAAATGCTTTCTTGAAAGCCCAACTCTTTGATGTCCATGGACATAAGTATTTGTTTGTATTCTTCCATATACATCATATTCAATCATCAATGTTCTATGTATATAGATAAGCCAATGCAAGTATAGAATGCTCATGTGCCTTATTTCTATTTCCTAAATATTTTTATGGATGTTAATGACGATTCTTGCAAATGCTCAAATGATTTTATCAGTTTAACAAAAGCTATTTATTCTACGACCCAAATTATTACATGCCCAAGGAAGTCAAATATTATGTTAAAAACAATCTTGTTTCAGAGCTCTTGTTACAACTATCATGATATTGCTCATGCAATTAATATACAAAATTTATTTGATTTTGAATAGGATTATTTTGAACAATACCGTGAGCGAATACTGGAGGCTGAACAGTTGATTCTAACTACGTTAAACTTTGAGCTAGAGGTGCAGCATCCATACGAATCTCTGACATCCACTCTTCATAAGTTAGGCTTTTCGCAACCTGTTTTGGTGAATCTAGCCTTGTGCTTGGTCAGCGAAGGGTGAGTATGCTGCTTAAAGTATCTCTATTCATACTACTTTTTTGGTAAACTTGATTAGGCAATCACATCTTTGACAACGCTGCTTGGCGCACATACTGCTGTTAAAGGAGTGCTGTGATATCTACAATTAGTAGGATAAGTTTGAAGTTGTTAATGATGTCATTATTCTTGACTTATGTTGTAAAGTGCTATACTTGTCTTATTTCTTCATGGAATTTAATATTGATGTTTTGGATTGGCAAATAATTGCAGGGTCTATAGGCGATTAGCATGCTCACCATATGATATTAATAGCTGGTGGTTGATTTGCTGTTCATCAAATGTTTTGTTTTCATCTGAAGTGAACTAGAGATACCTTGTCGATGCTTTTCCATGCTGGCATGTTAATGACATTGTCACTGGCTTTAGAAGATAGTTCATGGATGAATTGAACTAAGTTAACAATTGGATCTTTCTGCATTTGGATATCTCTGTGGTTCATGGCTGTGGAATATGCCAAGGTTTTAGCTGAGCTATTTCAGGCTGTGGATTAACTGTCTTCTTGTTGACGATGACAGTCTAGCTGTGCACCATAAGAGAACTGGTTTTCTTTCCCTCTCTCTAAAAGCATTTGCTCCTAACAATGAATTGACTTTAACCTCTCCACCTTAAGAACTTCCTGGAACTTGGACACCCTTGTTTATCTTTTCTCTCTGTGACTAATTCGAGCTTCACAATTCCATTTTCATATGGCTTCCGATTCTTGATATTTAACCTTTCTTCTGGGAAGTTTGGGCAATCCATTGTTTATCCTTTATCTAACTGTCTATCCACACGAGATGGAAACAGGATCTGACAGCCGCTTGATAAGATTTGGGGTTCCCTTGACATTATGTTGGAATTTGAAAAAGTGAGGAAGGGGGGAATAATTTAATTACTATCAGTGCATTGCACGAGGAGCATCTTGTCATCTTCCTTCGGCAATTTACTAAGTTTTAGTCATTAGTTCTTCTCAGCATGTTTTTGTTCTTCAAAGATCATACACATTACGGAAGCAAGCTTTATAAGTCTTGGATGGGTGTAGATATATGACCCTCCTCCCTCCATGGGACAAATATATAATATAAGAAAGGAATAATCACATGGTGAAATGATAAAATTGCTTTCAAAGTACATGTAGGGGCAAGGACTACCTGAATTTCTTTTGGTTTTTTAATTTGAGTTCTTATATGCTTATCTATAGGTCTTATATATGGTAAATATTTATTTTATCTAATCTTGTAGATGTGGCTAGAGAGTAAGTGAAAGAAATGCTAAAATGTTGTTGTCTTGGATGCTGTTACATTATTCCTATCCATCATCTTTGATTTGTACACTGCAGTGTGCTTTTAGTGTTTTAGGTAGAGATCTTACTTGGGATTGGGATGTAAAAGTTAGTTGCCTCCAGGTTTTCAATATATGCTAATGCTTAAGTTGATAGGTACCTATATATGTAAGTGAGTTATGGAAGGTAGTGTTTGGAGAATATTTAACTTGAAACTTTGCAACATTAACAAGTCACTGTTCTTTACACTCCTTGATGACTATTCTTACATGTTTAGAATCTGTTCACAAATCATGTTTAAATTGTTAATTTTTTTTCTTTTTTTTTGAGAGTCCATTAATACAACTTTTATAATGATTTGTCGATACCTTCCTGTGATTGTTGTATTTACAGTATAATAATTGAACTTTCTCCCTATTTCACAAAGAACTTTCTTGAAAAAAGTTCAATCATCAATGGTTTTTTATAGTCAAAATATCAACTTTGGTTGCTCGGCTAGTTTACAAAAGCATGGTTATTGGATGTATATTTCAAGATTTCAGTTCAGCCTTTTCTTTTCTTTCCTTTCTCTTTATCTGTGTAAAGAATAGTAAATTCTACTAAGAAACTATTACGGGGAAGCAGCCACTGCTGCTGGACTAGCCATTGCTGCATGTCTAGATCTGGCTGGCAAAGAAGGCTGCCCCTTACACAGGCCTGATCGTGGCCCAAATGTTGTGGTTGTCTTAATAATTATGTTGCGAAAAATGTAATTTTGGCTCTGTAAGTGTCATTCATTATTATTTTGGTTTGTAAGTGATACCCCTTATTATTTAGTCATTAATTGCCAATGTTATTAGATCATCACAAAGTACAAACTAAGAAGTTTCTTCTAAAATTGATTTGTTATTTCTTTTCTTCGGAAGATGTAAAACCATTAAATTTATGATTACATGATTTTTTCATTGTTGAAAGCTGCATGTATATATTGTGTAAATGGCAAAAATAAATGAACAATTATATTTTAAGTTCACAGATACATGCAATTTACAAGCAGTTTGATATTCAACTTTTGATGAGATTTGGCATTTGGCTATGTAGCAGCTGTTACCGACTCACTTTTGTACATGCATTATGATATCCAAGTTTTAAGGTGGTTGGAATCAGTCAATGAAGTTTAGCTGGCATGCTGTCTATTCTGCTATTCTACAGCCCGTTTAAATCAGTATGGTTTTGCTATAGTATGGCAGCAGAGGGGGGCAGGGGACATGAAGTTGATATAATGTGTAGTCAGATGTAACATGTTTTGTATATTAGGGTATTCTACCAACACACTGCAGGCAAATCTTGGGTTATTCCATCTCGGTTGCTGCTTGCCTAGTTGGTACGAAAAGATTGTTTTGGTTTTCATATTAGCCCTTTTAATTGAATAATGTCTATTGCATAAATTTACCTTCTCTAAACAATTGTGAAATGACCATAGCATTTTCCTACATATCAGCATAAGACTATGTTGGTTCAATCGTTGGTGTTTTTTGAAATGGTATGTTAGCTATCTGTTGTGTCTAGACATAAACAAATAATTTTTCGTGCTTCTGAAGCCAAGTTTCTTTTTTTTTTGCAGGCTTAGGAGTTCTCTATGGCTTCAGTTCAAACCTCATCAGATAGCTGCCGGTGCTGCCTACCTTGCTACGAAATTTTTAAATATGAATCTTTCTTCGTGCCATGATATCTGGCATGAATTCAGAACGTCCCCTTCTGTGCTCAGGGGTAAGCTATACTTATGCTCATTAGAATCTTCGAGGAAAAGTCAAATGAAGGAATAAATAAAATAAACAAATTTTCTTCAATTTTGTGAAGATTGTATACGAGGCTAGGTTTAGTTTCTTAGCTATTTTTGCTTATTAGTTTCCTTGGGGAAGAAGGGAAATAAATATAAAATAAATAAGCAAATGTCGATTTTGTGAAGATTGTGTTATGGGGCAATGCTTAGCTTCTTAGTTAGATTTATGTCTTCACCCGTGTTCACTTGGTAGGGTTAAAATGGAAGAACAATTTTTGAATAATACAACTTATGATTATACTCAAACTTGGTATAAATGAAGTAAATCTAGGGACGATTTATTATATCTGATGTTTGGCAACAAATCTACATCTGATCCATGTTAATAAAATTGGTGTGATCTGTCGTAAAAGATTCTTTTATTGTATCCTATCATTTTAACTTGATAGCATTTCTAATACTACAAATTATTGATACTGGTGGACTTGCATGGCCTTTTTCTATATATGCAAATAAATTGGATTGAATAATTAAATATTTAAATCCAACTCTTACTTAATTCAAATGACCATATTGATACCGATCATCGAATAAAATGAATGGGTTAAAGGAAAGGCACGTGTAATGTTGATGATATGCTTGTGCATAGACACTGTCTGAATATTTGAGTACATCATTGAGAAAATATAGATTATACAGTTCATATTGGAAGGAGACAAGAAATGCCTATGAATAATTTGGAAAAATAAAGTAAAAATAAATATACGACATTGAAATTTGCAGCTGAGTATTTTCTTCGAATATGATGACCATTTATGATTGATGCTGTGAGGTTCACATCATAGGCCAAGTAATGGTGATGATGATTCTATGTTTGTAAGCTTTCCATATTTTCGTGATTTATTTTATTTGTGTTATATGCTTCGATTTTTTACTCCACTCAGCTTATTAAAATGGTAATTATAAATAGTCATAGGTCATGTTTACTTGAGTTCTTACTGCCTTTCCTTTGAGAATCAATATCTTTGTTCCCCCAGTTTTTTTAGATGGATTAATTTTTTTTTTTTTGGTATGGAGAATTGTGTTAAAAAATATAAAATATGTTATTTTAAGTTGAATATTTGACTTTTTGATTTTTTGTAACGAATATTTGAAGTTTTTTTTTTTTTTTTTTTTTTTTTTTTTTTTTTTATAAAAACTTTAAAGTTATTATTATTAAATTTTTTAGGGAATCGCAATGGAAAAATAGTGTTGAGAACATAGTGAATATTTACTGCCTTTTACAGTAACATAAGTGGCTAAGAGATGTGCAATGATTACTCTTTGATAAGCATCCGATGATTTTCTCACAGATTTTCTCATCTATTTTTCGTGCTTGATACTTATATTTACAATGAAATACTTGTTTTCAGATGTCGCCTTTCAACTGATGGAGCTATTTTAAAGAAGTCGAGAGCGCGATTAATCTTGTGTCCACTCGACTCCAGAGTCTAAACCACTGTTTGGTTTGCCGTAATTTTAGAGGTAAACAAATTATACGGCTTAGTTCCACAGCATGTTTTCTTTATCTTGTGTGTAGAAAGATGGATATACACAAATATGGGGCATAGATGTGACAGCTTGAAATGCTTGATATCTCGATATAGAATCTTTTTTTTTTTTTTTTTTTTAACTTTGATGTATCTTCTTTTTCTTTATTTACAGCCCTTGTAAGGTATGCATATATATTATCCCTATTAGCTGTTCTAAATAGATTTGTCTGTGATACTTAAAATGACATATGTGTTGGATGAGATTTTATTTTTATTTTTATTTTTATTTTTATTTATATATTTTTTTAAGTGGAAAATTTTAAAAATACAAGGGTTTGTTACTTTAGCTTTGTATTTTGTGTTTAGATTTTTGGTTTAATTTTAAATCATCATTGAGGGAACTTCTTCCACTTATCCCATTGTATAGATATGGATATAACAAAAAATAAAAAATAAAAAAAAAAAAGAAAAAAAGAAAAAAGAAAAAAAGTATACCCTTCCTTCCAAAAAATATATATTTTTTATTTTTAAAAGTTTGTAGGGTTTGTTTGTGTTGTTATAAATTTTAAGTTTTTACTATTTGAATTCTATTTTAAAAAAATATAATTTCTTTATCTTACAAAATATCTCATCAATATATTATTTTAATATCAAATTCAAATTATTATTATTATTATTATTATTATTGTTATTATTATTATTATTTTTTTTTTAATTTTAATCTATCAAAAGAAAAATTTATTAAGTCTTCGGATTTTCAGACTTAGATTGTGGAACACAGTTCTATACTGATTTTCATAGCATTGGAACAATTGATGCTTAGAGTGCCGAAGGATATTTAAATGTATTAATAATAATTTCTACTAGATTAAATTTAAAATAATTAATTAGTATAATTAAAAAATATATTAATTTAAATTTTCAAAATAAGATTAAAACTAGAAAATAATTAAAATTATGATATCAATTTACTCTAAACCATAAATCCTTAATAAATTTCTTATAATATTTTATTTAACATTAAAATTTTTATGTCTCCAACCAAATCTACATAATCTAATTTACATTATGTTTACTTAGGATAACTGATTTTAAGTTTTGGCTTTACTTAGATTCTTGGGAAAAAAAAATGATTATATTGGAATCAAACTTAATAAAATTAATTAACTTTAATTTCATTACAAATAATTTTAATTATTTTGATGTGAATGTAAAAATAATGACATGTCATCCTTGATTGTACTGCAAAAATCCTAATAATATACAACTAGTAAAATAATTGAAAGGAATATTTTTTTTTTATTTAAAGCATAGAAAATTGAAGTGTAAAAATTCAATACATTTCATATATTTATGTTGCCAAATTGGAAGAGATTGGGATAGTAAGAATCATCAAATTCTTACTTGGGTTGAGCAAATGCTATTGTTCCTGCAGGTACAATTGACTCATTTTGATATTGCAAATGAGACATGATATTTCATTGTTGCTCGTTTTCAGACTTCAGATTTTTCTTATTACTATCAGTTTTGAACCACGCTGAGCTCCGCCTCTCTGTTAATGAGTTTCTTGCTCAGGTTTAGTCTATTTGTTATCGTCTCATGTAGTTACAGATTAGTCAGGACCATTTTGACCTTATTTAGATCTCGATGGCACTTCGACTTGAATGTGAGGCTGTTCATGGTTCACTCCTACGTCGACATCCATATCCTACTCTTGATGCTGCCATTCAGGAGATTATTTTAAGGAGCCCAGTCTCCAGTTGGCTAAGACACTGAATTCTGATTCTGCTTTAGTTGTGTCTCGCCAGTCCCGATTTGCTAGTACTAGATGTCGAATTAGCATGTCTCATGATCACACTTGGTCCACCTATCCGAAGATTGAGTGCCACTCTTGTCGTTTGTATGGCCATATTGCTCCGTCTTGTCCCACAAGATCTAAGCGTTCAGGTAGTTCTACTCATAGACATTCCGGTAGCTCTGCTCCCAAACATTGAGGTGGTTCAGCTCTCAAATCTTGGGAGCCTAGTGGTCTTCTTCGATTGCTTCTTCTTCGGTTACCGCTGCTACTACTAATGATACTAATTATTCGTCTTACAATCTTCACGCCATCAGTGATGCAAACGAATTCTGCAGTGTCTACCATTCCAAATACATCTACTTGGTATCATTCTAGTTGTTGTTACCACATACGACCTCTAATTGTCGTAACTTATATCTATGTCTCATGATTCTACTACCTATACATACGATCAATGGTACTACAATGCATATTAGCCGCATTGTCGTGTCTCCTTCCTTCCCTATATCTTTCTAATATCTCTAAATATAAGATTTCTTTCTTAATTAAAAAATCACGATAACAATATATATATATTATTATTATTATTTTTTAAATAAATCACACAATAACACACAACGAATACACGAAACCCTAATTCTCTCTCTATCGCATCCCTTCGAACCTCTCTCTATAGCGCAGCCATGAATGATTTTACTGCTCTCAGTATCCCTCGAGTTTTCACTGCTTTTCAACACTGCATCTGCATCTCTTTTCATTTTTCATTTCCCTAAATTTGACAAACCTCGAAATCGATTTCGGAGGAGCGCGTATGCCTGTCTACAACTTCAACTCAGATCTGTGAGCCGAGCTTCGTCATCCATGGACGAATTGAGCTTCAACCGCAAGAACAGTGATGCAGATTCTTACCGATTGGGATTGGGTGGTACCGGGAATTCTTTTGGTAAGCATTATTGAATTTATTTTTAAATTATTTTAAATTTGAAATATTGCATAGATCTCATGCCTAATTTGTTAGTGCTCTATTTTACAATAATTTTTTAATTTCATTTTTTCTTAAAAAAATGAATACATTGAATTTTCTCAATAAAATGTTAATTCTTTGCCGTTGTTAAATGGAGCTAGGCAATTTGCTGTTGGAAGACTTCACTTCTTTTTATAAAAGTTTTAAATTATTAGTTCAATTTACGTTTTATTTTTTATTTCTTATGTATATATATTTAAATACTTTAACGTGAAATCAGACTAAAATATTTCTTCCATTATTGTTATTACAAATCAGTGTTCAATATAAATTTTTTTTTGGGTACGGACCATCAGCATCATGTTGATACAATATTAGCTTCATATCATAAAAAATTAGAATTTAATGATTGGGATCAAACAAAGGCGGGACGATAATTGCTCAAACTAAGGGTACAAGGGTTTAGGTATTCTTCTTCGATCTGTAACATTTTTTCGTACCGATTTGAAGCATTCTCTATCATATTGTTATTCGATTCACATTCTTTATCAAACATGTTCACTCAATCCTCGACTGCATCAATTTGTTTTTAACTTCGATTCTTCGTCTTCAACTTCTTCAACCCACTGCCTCGTTTACGCGCTCATGGTTGTTGATTTTTTCACTCCTTCCATGTTACCCAAGTG